AAAGGGACATTCCAGGCATAATTTTTTTTTGCAAGGTCTTTGTTCACCTTCAGGTCTTGGGAACTGTTGCCAAGCATTGAAGTCATGGAAATGAGGCTTTTGACCAGTTTCCTCTTGATCTTCCCTGCAGGTAAGAAAAGCTCCCATCTTCCCTTTATGATTAGAGCATTATGGAGTTCATGGTACCTTTTCCAGTCCCTTTATGATTTCGTATTCTTTCCTGCTTTGTAGGTGTTTTTTCTCAGAGCCTTGTGGAGACCGGTGGTGGAGTGAAAAGCCCAGGAGGGACTCTACAGCTGACCTGTACTGTGTCTGGATTCTCTTTAACAAGCTATGGTGTAATCTGGGTCCGCCAACCAGCGGGAAAGGGACTGGAGTGGATTGGAGTTGTCTGGGGTGGTGGAAGCACTGAGTATAACCCCGCTCTCCAAAGTCGACTAAGCATCACAAGAGACACCTCCAAAAGCCAGGTCTATCTGCAAATGAATGGCCTGAAGTCTGAAGACACTGCCACCTATTACTGTGCAAGACACACACTGCAACAAACCCTTTCAGAGGCAGCACAAAAACTGTCCTTCAGGCATGTGTTTATGTGCCAACAGTGGAAAGAGAGCTGCCTTTCATCCTGTTCATTTCCTCAGCCACTGGTGCATGAAGGCAAGGCATTCACTGCCAATGTTGTGTCCTTATTCTTTGATTGATTATACTTTTCTAAAGCATGGGACCTGGACATGTGGCAGGAGTCAAAAAATTATGCCACGTCACCCCCCTAGCATTATTAAGGAAATAACCATGCCCTTCAGAGACATTTTGTTCACCACCAGTGGACCTGGATGTCATGATCCAGTGTCATCAGATATGATTCCCAACAAGCAGAACTTTGGTCTCTTTGCTCTGAGTGAATCACTGTGGCTCGTTCTCAAGTCTCTGTCTATAGCTATAGCAGTAGGCTTTTTTTTAAAGAAAAAAAATGAAAGGTGTTCCCAATCACAATTTCTCTGTGGCAGCCATGTCTATTTGTCATGCAAGCCTATATTGTGCCACTGGAGAAACAGATGTTTTTTAAAAATGAGCTAGACATTCAGATTCCAAAAAAGTCATAATTTTACTGGTATGGTGCTAAACTGAGGCATATGTCCTTAGCTTGCTCTGCCCATTGGTTTTTTTGAGGACTGAAAATTAGCTCATTTTTTATTATTTTGCCGTACAAATTGTGAAATTCAAACACCCCATCATACTTATGCTGAATCCGAAAAACCTTGTTATACTCGCATACAAAAGTATGATTTTGTGAATCCTATTGAGGCGACACCAGCGGGAGGCCTTGGCCTCCGTGCTCTGTTGGCCCTCCACTGTGCCGAACAGATGCTGAACTACATGGACCACCGGTCTGATCCAGCAGGGGTATTTTTAGGTTGGCATGAGATCACAAACCAAGACACTGCATCCTTTAAGGGAACACCATATTGCAGGACAGAACCAAAATCATGAAAAATAATACCAGTACTTTGCAATGATATCGCTCCATTTGGGGTGTTTCTAGTGCTTCATTTCACCAGTTCTCAGCCTATTCAGGGGCAAGAGAAACACCAAGTGTGAAGAAAGGACCTCCTGTCGTTGCTTCCATTAGATGTTACTGAACAGAAGAAGAGAGGTGAGATTGCTGCCTTCTTTGGCAGCCACACGTTCCTCCAGATATCTCAGTTTTAAGCCTCCCTCAGCCTCCTTTTCTTTCATACAAATGACATTCTGATGCAGTCTTCTTAAAAGGGAACATCCTTAAAGAAGGCACAGGATCCAAAGACTTGGACTGCATTCCCCTTCATGTCCTCTGAAGTGATGCTCCCCCTGGGGGGGGGGAGGTGGCAGCAAAAGGGTCTCCAGGCCCCACCGGGAGGTTGGCATCTGCGCCTCACCTAGGGCTCAGAAACACCTCGAGCTGGCCCTGGCCGATAGGCTGCTCCTAGGATCCTCTATGCCTATTGTTTCTGGGAGCAAAGCTCTGGCTGTTCGGGAGACCGCATGTTCCGCTCAACCACGTGTGTGGTCTCCGTCAGAACATAACAGGCATACTATAGAGGTTCTGATGATTCCTAGAGCTACCCTATATCACTGATCGATGTTTCCAGGAACTGGCAGAGCACTTCACATGGAACTGCCAATGTCTGTCTGTCTGTCTTTCTTTCTTTCTTTCTTTCTTTCTTTCTTTCTTTCTTTCTTTCTTTCTTTGTTTCTTTCTTTCTTTCTTTCTTTCTTTCTTTCTTTCTTTCTTTCACTGGTGGTTCAAGATGCAGTGGGCAACAGAAGTTGGGGGTAGGGTATCACCTTCCGCTATGATGGCTTGGCGACACTAGCCACACTAAGCTGTTTTCCCATTGGAAGCTGTGAGAAACTGGCTCTCCCCCCCTGCTGGATTAAAAGAGAAAGGCTTGCAAAAAATCCTCCTCCTCCTCCTATTCCTGTAAATTTAGGCCAGTTCATGGGAGGAAATAGATGATCACCGCAGTTTTTCCCCACCATAAATTAGTGAACAGTGTAAAACTGCAGACATCAGTGAACGCCAGCATAAAATAGAATGGCTGTTCACCTACATTTTGTAATACTTTGAGAGGCAGTGTGGTGCAGTGGGTAGAGTGGAAGACTCAGGAGGACCCTGGGCAAGCCGGTTTCCAGTCCATTCTTCTGCCATGGAAACACACGCGGTGACCTCGTGCCAGTCACAAACACTCAGCCTGGCCTTCCTCACAAGTTTCTTGAGAGAAACTGGAGGAGAGGGAAATGATGTTCTCAAAGCCGCTTTGAGACAAGTGGAATATAAATGGATACATCATCATTGTATACATATATGCTATGTGTGTGTACTGAATCATATACCTAGAGGAGAAACATGCTAATTAAAAATCCTTCTGTTCTGTAATCTGAGGAAATAATTTCCAAGTGGGAGTGGTCATGTTCCACCATCTGGAGCACTGAGTCAAAATACCCACTAGTAGAAACCACAGCCAGAATAGCAAGGGGAAGGCCAACTCTAATTTTCTTTCAAGAAGCAGAGGGTGAGAAGGCTCTCCCTTCCCAATGGAGAAGCGGCATTTCTTGGTTGGATAACCTAAATGCTAAACTACCCATATGGCCTGGCTTGCCCCCATCCCCCACCTTCCATGTGAACCCCTGTTTCTACTATAAGGACAAATATTGTAAACCAGCCTACCTAAGGGACTGCCTCTCCCCGCATGTTCCCCCAAGAGCACTACGGTCGGGGACCCAAAATCTCCTGGATATTCCAGGCCCCAGGAACATCATACTCGCTGTGACCAGGGCCAGGGTGTTTTCTGTGGCGGCTCCTACCTGGTGCAATGAGCTCTCAGAAGAGATCCGGGCCTTGCGGGATCTTGGGCAGTTCCGCAGGGCCTGTAAAACGGAGCTCTTCCGCCAGGCTTTCGAGTAGGAGCCGCCACCACCATTATTCCACCAACGCTTTTCCCATCACCGCACCCTTACCACCGCTGCTGCAGGTACCATCGGGGGTGCGAGACGTACCTGGCGGATGATAGGGCTGTGGGGACATATGGTCTTTGTATTGTTATAACAGCTGCAGAACACCATCTTGATTTTATGAATTGGAGCAAGTAATGGAGCACTGATATTTTATTAATTGTATTATGTTGTGTAATGTATTGTATTTTACATTGTTCTTATTGTTTTATTGGCATTCATGCCCTTGTTAGCCGCCCCGAGCCTTCGGGGAGGGCAGGATATAAATTTAAAGAATAAACAAACAAATAAATAAACAGCAGAAGAGAAGACCCCTCGGAACCTGTTCACTAGATGCTACTGTGTAGGTAAGGGTAATGACAGGAGATGATGGCTGTCAGAGGATGTTAAACCATCCTCATCATGTCTAGACTGAGGCTCTGATGGTCTCTTATATTGGCAGCACCTCCTGGAATCATGCAAATAACTTTCTGGCCCAGCCTTCTTTAGAGGGAAGTTGCAGATACAGAACTCCAAGGTCCTGGGTAGATCTCAGCCTCCCCTCAGGTTCAGATTTCACAGCCCACCGTCATGGAACTGAAGCTCTGGATAAGCTTTCTGATCATCTTTCCTGCATGTGAGAAAGGCTTCTATTTTTCCCTGCTGCAGATGGAACTGTGAACTCTGCTGTCTCTTTCCCACAGATGTGTAGTTGCTTATGAGTTTGTATGTTTCCCATCTCTGCAGGTGTTTCGTCGCAGGCCCTTGTTGAGTCCGGCGGTGGCATCAAAAGACCAGGAGAAAGTCTGAAACTGACCTGCACAGTATCTGGGTTTTCTCTGTCAAGCTACGAAGTGCTCTGGGTTCGTCAGCCACCAGGAAAGGGGCTGGAGTTTCTTGCACTTATCCGAGCTGCTGGAAGCACTGAGTATAACAGCGCTCTTCGAAATCGGATCAGTATCACGAAAGACAACTCCAAGGAGCAGGTGTTCCTTCAGGTGAATGGCCTGAAGCCGGAAGACACTTGCATCTATTACTGTTCAAGAAACACAGTGAGGGGAAACCTATCCCCTGTAGTACAAAAATCGCCCTTCCAGAAACCCAGACATCACTCAGGCACATGTTCCTGTGCAGTCATGCAAACCAGGCCCCTCTTCCTGCCTCTCCATTTCCTCCAGTCCATGAGATCACACCTCATTCACATTGCAACATTATTTCTTACATGGAAACCTACTGTAGCAATACAATATTCTAAATTGGACAGCTGCAACCTAACTCTGCGGCGGCTTTGGGATCGAGTCTTCAGGATCCTGCAATACCACAACTGTATTGGAAGTTGTGAAGAACTGCATTGTTTTCTTTGGAGGTTTGAAATGAGCATAACTTTCACTTGGGGTTTTAAAATCCCCCCCCCCCCCCATGGGAAGAGAACAGGTAGGTAGGGGGAAAGTCAGTTCAGCTGCTTTCCAGACTTACCTCAGCCCATTTTCATACAAATGCTAATAGGTCTAGGCAATGGGATGGTCATTCAAGCAGGGAACAGAGATTTGGATGTGTTAAGTACTAGAGAGGCTTCAGGAAGGAAATTCTGAAGACTTCAGGAAAAGCTTATCTGAGCTAACTCGACCCGGTAAGCAGATGGGGAAAAGAGAGGTGATAAAATGCAGGGGAGCAAGGAGGAAGGTCTCTTTAGTGCTGAGTCCATCAGAGCAGATAGAACTCTTAACTGAGGTCTAGAGGAAGCGGACATTAGCCATGTGCTGGCCTGGAAAGCTGAAGGAATTTTCAAGGTGATGGTCACTCTGTAGAGATCTGTAACTTCCTAAACTAAGGAGCCTGTCCTATATTTTAACATCTGATTGAGGTCTAGAGGAAGCGGCCATTAGCCATGTGCTGGCCTGAACAGCTGAAGGAATTTTCAAGGTGATGGTCACTCTGTAGAGATCTGTAACTTCCTAAACTAAGGAGCCTGTCCTATATTTTAACATCTGATAGGGCATATACAGAGAGAGGGACAGGGAAAAAATGTGTTTTACCCAAATCTTATGAATATCTTACTCAATCTGGTGCTGTGCTAAAAGTAGGCTTGTGAACAT